AACAAAAATCACTAGTTTTACCTGTATGCGTCTGAAATAGTGTACTCGGATTTATTAAGATCGTGAATTTCTTTCCTTATACGGCGTTACATGTATTAATATTGTTAATGATATATATATACTCAATGGGTTTTGGGCGTTTAAACATTAAAATGGGAACATCTGCGTCTAAATGTAAACCCTTTAGTCGGTAAACTTGTTTATTTTCGACCCAAACAAGTGCAAATTATTTAACATCTGGCGGTAGAAATGGATCCACTTGAAGGAGCCATATTCTAGCATTGAACGGCCCAGGGGTATATATGCAATCAGATTTGGGAATGTGTTGGAGATTACAGTATGTCTACAAAAAACTGATGCGACATGTGCCAAGTCGTTCTGAAGTACTGGTTTATCTGTCTCTAATACTCTGGCAATTCTGTGCCATCACCTTCATATTTCACAAATAATGCAGCGGTATGGTTAGGTTATATTTGACAAGAAACGGGGGTAAAATTGCATTACAAATTGAGGGTTAATTATATACTTTTTATTCTGTTTGTAAGTGCTCGTCTAGTCCGCTTTAATTATCGTTCAATGCTATTTTGTCTTTTGATACATTTCTTACAATTCACGAAACACGACCTAAATGTTATGCAAAATACCACGGCGGATAATCATGCCTTTTGAAAGGAAAGCACAACAAATTATTGTAAATACATTATTTTATTTCTAACAAACACGTAAAATTAGAGGATCCTAAAATCGCAGAGTAACGCTCTGGAATACACTGCAAAGATATGCTATATCATAAACGTCATAATATGTACATTTCATACAGGATTTCAGACAGACGATACATCGGCACATGACAAAAAATATACAACATACAAACAGGAGAAAATATATTATCTGGTTGCTGAACAGGATCCAGCAGTCATAAACCATGACCAAAAACACCCTATATTAGATGAAGTGTAAATAAAAATTACTCGGGACACGATGGATGATGCAAATATATTAGCTTATTAATACAGTCCACGCATCTAAATATAGGACAGACTAAATGGAAGCAAAATAAAAGTCTTCCTGACGAAATTTAATGAAAACGCCCGCACGAAAACGCAGTAGATGCTCCAGCGCAGTAGACTACTGCAATCATACTGCAAATATGCCTCAAATCTGCTTTGCATTGGGAGCTAATTAGCATATTTGAAACATGCTTCTATCATGCTGCTAATCTACTGCATTAATGCTCCTCCTCTGTACAACTCTATGTAATTTTTGAAGTAGAATTGCAGTAGGCTATACTGCATTTCTACTGCAAATATGCTCCACACTACTGCGTTAATGCTTCTTTGCTACTTCGATACTACTGCATTTTCGTGCGGGCGAGTCCACGACATGTAATACAGGAAGCGCACAAGCATAAGATACCAGTACGTCACGTATATTAGTGCATGTTCAGACAACCAATGTTTGTAATCCTAGGTTTTATCTAATATAGTTTTAAGGCGGACAATCTTATTATTCGCATGTATGAGCCCATTAAAAGAAAGATGCATTTGTATATAAAACCATAGAATTCCACTCATGTAACGGTGTATGTAGTAATCTGAAAGAGCAATCCGATAAGAAATGTCTTCATTACTAATGGACGGTGTAACGTAAGAAAATGACGGAAAGAGCAGCAGTGTTGACGTTAGAAAAAGTATCCGTAGGCAAATTTGACAGCAGGCAGCATAAAAATGTTGATCTCATAAGCTACATTGACAACAATAACAGCATCGGAAGAAATCTTATACATTATCTTGAAAGCGTAAAACATGATACAACTATCCATGTTGCCGTTTAAGAATGATGACGATTCCGTATTTTCTCTACAACTAATTCATTTGAAATGTTTTACCTAAAGCTCGTTGAAAAAAATTCCCTAAGGTTATATGGCCGTCGTGTTTTCTCTTACAGACAGTCAGTCTGCAAGCCGGAGTCAACAAACCATAGGCAACACGAAGTATACTTCGCCAACCATACAAGTATAGTTTTTAAATATAGAAGATATGAATAAAATGAGATCCAGAAAGATCGTATTATTGTGTAAATATAGGTTCTCATACGGATTGTATCCTGTATATATTTTCCCAGTATCCGTCGTTTTCTAGGTCGCTTCTGTTTCACATATAAAGTTAATTGTACGACTGCATTGCTCGTCATCAAAAAGCTTGGTGATGGAATGGTATTGTACACAGTCTTGATTGCCCCCTTGGCTATTTGGTTCCCCTAGAATGGAAATAACTTGTGGGAAATTGATAATGCAAATAAAATCACCATCAGAAGATTTCGTTTGAATGACATTGTTTTAAACCTCCTTTAATGTAATATATAGAAACGAAAAATAAACCGACATCAAACATGGCATTTCCTGCTCGGCATCATCGCTCTATTTCCACTTCTATTTAAGAGCACTTCAGCTTGGCAATACATGACAACGAAGGTAAATACCAAGTAAGGTAGTCTTGAAAATATCTCAGATAGATTCGGTTCGTGTAATTTAAGGACAAAATTGTTGTAACTAAAATATGAAAATACACATGAAAATATACGAGTTTTATACCTGGACCCCATGCAATAAACGGTGCTGGAATGTCGCCCCACCCGGACAATACCCAGGTACCTTCAGAGGCATCATCTGTTAGTGAGGTCCACCAGCCGACGGCACTCCGTGCTGAAGATAAATAATTGACACGACGGATTAAATCACCAAATTTTGCATGTGGTTACCCTTTGACACACTATGTCGAATTAGAGCCGTAGCTCTCTGAAAAAATTACCGATGGGTAAAAAAATCCAAAATGGCCGCCAATGTATTGAATTCTACAGAAATATAATTGTGACAACTGGTACCAACTTATAAGAGACACAATTACTGTCTAAGTAGATTGCAAGACGAAAACATTGAGTAATTTGCAAAGTTTAAGTACGTGTGGGTAACACAATTCACGCGATTGTACTGTTGTTGAGGCCTTTTTTGTTATAAATCACTGTAAAACGCACAAGTATACCGATGTCAGATGATGTAATATCATAAATTTCCCTTACCTTCGTCGGCCATAATATGTTGTCTAATAAAAGTGTGTTCCTCTTCATTGTCAACGGCGACAAGTCTCGCTCCCATTGACTCGCAGTGGGCTTTAGCCTGGTAGAAGTTGCCTTTCAGTGTCATGTTGAAACTGTAGCAACTTGTCCTGAACGAAACCTCAAACTGCGGTGGACACGTTACTTAAAGTATACAAATCATTCCATATAATTAATAAAAAATGTAACGTCTTTCATTATCCAAGTACACGTATATGTAAACTGATTTACACCATAAATACGAAGGCAATAATGGCAACGTGGTTCACTGTTGGAAACGCTCAATGGGATATTAAACGTTCATTCTTTAAAAACCACCAGTGAAAATATAATGCTCATCTTGAATATGACCAGTATGTTCCTAGATAATACTAACGTTCACAGTTTAATCCGCCGTAAGGGACAGGGCAGGCACATTTACCGGAACCCTCAGTTAATTGGACACAAGTCCCGCCATTTTTACATCCACATTCCTGAAATAATATAGTACACAAGCATTGCTGTGGTCCTTACTGCATTTACTGTGTCACTAAAGTCAGTGTTTGTATCTTAGACACCGTTGCCAGTTTTTTTTATTTAATTACATATTGACACTCAAAACACAAAACAGTATTATAATTATATCCTCCTGTCTTACTCACATTCTTACAGGTTATCCTTTATTTTATAATATAAATAGCTACTTCGCTCAATTTATTATGTGCGAGTCATCTGTTTTGTATTTTACCATTTGATGGTGCATGATAGAAAAGGAATATTTTTATTACAGCTAATAGTTTGTGCGTTATCTTATATTTACAGGGTCAAGTGTGATTTTGTCAGTCAACAAACAGGGATCTGGCCTAGTCCAAAAAGTTCACAGGTGACATTTTCATGTGAAACGCCGGGTTGGTCTTTCTGAAGAGAAAACTGTACTAATGCCAATGACAAAACGATCGATACCACACGTACAAAAATTAATGCATTTCTTTTAATGTCATTTCAAAGCATCTATTTTGTGTAGTTCTTGATTTGGGGTAGTTTGATTGATTATCTTAACTTTCGCTAGTTTAATTGTTTCAAGCGAATTGCGTTGAGAAAATTTGTTTGCTGTTGTCAGCTACAGGGAAGGGGTGCATAATTTAACCAGTGCAAAATCAGCATTAAGTCGCCTTGGATACACAAAACACACAGTAAATATATCACAGGCAAGATTAAATCCCAGGCCTTTAGAAATTTGATGAAATGGTAGTATTTGTTTGAATAAAAATGACATAATGGCAAATTCACAAAAAAAAATACATTTATAGCATCTAATAATTTACCAATAAGGCTACACCTCTCAGGTCTTGTGTTTTAAATATTATAAAAATATTCTATTGCATCCTGAAATATCTTGGTCAAAATGTCAATTCTTTAATGCTTTAATAGCACTATGAAAACATTTAGTCAAAACCCCTTTTCTGAAACATAGTTATAACATTATAAAATATTTTTTTAATTATAAAAATAGCTAGCTTTATGATTATTTTATGCAAGAAGCGTGTAATCAAGTGGGAAAACCTTTGTTTAGCCTATTCGACGTGCGGTGTTGTTGCGACGCAGGCGTAGGGCTTTATCATTATTAATGAAGATACTTTTGTGTTTTTCTCTATTTGATACACTGCAATCTTACATTTATTTTAAAGGATCGTTCCTGTATGCCAAACGTTCACCTTGTACCAGATTTTTTGAAACTCTGCAAAAATTACTTTCAAGCAAATTGACAGTGTTTTAGATAAACGTGTGGATTGTGTGGATTTTGCTTTAATGTTAACATTCTAAGGAACTCGCTCGTAATTTCAGTTGGCATAGGTGTCGTAAATAACATCTGTGTATAAACTCAGAGCATGATATTGAGCTTAAACTTTTTGTGGTAAGGTACCTTTCAAAGATGTCGTCTTTGAGACTGAGTGCTTGTTACCACAGTTATTTTGACGAGATACTTTTCAAAGTGCATATTTCTGATGCCTTTCAAAAATAAATCTTAAAAAAATAAACATATCTTTTACATTATTAAGACGTTATCTTAAACATTTTAAAACATTTTCTAAAGTATCCACACAACGTTTAAAGTGCCTTTGCTGGTTGGACTAAAAATGTAAATAATGCCACTGACCATAGATAGTCACTTTCCTTACATATTTTCTATACGATTATTTTGAGAGCAAAGCAAAACAGTTTTAGTATTTACGTTTTTCTGCTTTCCAAAATGTGCATATTGGACTTACAAGCTTAACTGGCTTAAATGATTAACGAGCTATATCAGTTCATAAAAATTGGTATTAAACATGGCTATTTCGTTACCAGAGAATAATCTCATGATCTACACACGCCGTAGATTGAATTAAGATGAAATGCAACATTTTGTCTCGACATGGATCCTTTTAACTGATAAAATATAACTTACCAGACAAGATACTGTGCGACTGCATGCCTCTAAGTAGGAGCAGTTGGGGTCACTCAACAGGAACTCCGCCTGAACGCCGGCACAGTTGAAATTGGTAAGAGCACAAGTCTTTGTGTTACCGCAGTAATATGCACCTAGGCAGCTTCTATGCCCCAGACAGTGGAGTGCGCACTCCTCTTTAGACAAAGAACATGTCGTCAGAAGAATCAAAGTTTCAATAAATTTCGTCTGAGGCTGAACCCGAAACCATAAAGATGAAGAATTCGACACGCCAAACCATACCATAAGTAGAGCACATTCTGACAAAAGGACAGTCACTATATTCTTCGTTGACATCTCCAAACTACTTTTTGAATTCTTCAATATCTCTCACGTGAAATGTGTTCACAGCATCTATTGTTACACCAACCGCTGCAGACTGCAAGCTCGTTTTCAGTTATTAGTGTTTCGGTTGGCTTCACCTGACTTCCTCAGTGAGAAATTAATCTGAAGCGTCCTTTTTTTGTAACACTGAAACGCTGTTTATTGTGTACTGTGCCACTGACAAAAATTAAAAATTGATATGGCACTTAGTAAAGATTAAACCATTCACTGTAATTGTAATATGAAATCATCTTTCTTGTGTGTTAATTGTAGTTTTGATTGATTGAGTTTACTGAGATTAATCATTTCAAACAGATGGGGTTTTGAAAATTTGATGTTTGTAACTGTCAGTTACAGGAGAATATTAAACCAGTGCAAATCAGTATCAAGTGAAATGTATATACGAAAAATTAGAATTAGAAAAAACGAAAGGAAAGAAGCAATACTGAAAATTTATCTGTGATAAAATTCTATTGCTTAAAAAGGATCCCCTAATACCTCTTCCCACCTATTATAATATGTTTACAAAAAGAGAAATAACATATTAGCAAAAAATAATCTGACTTTCAGTGACATAAAATCACCTTCGAGATCTATCGTCTCATAGACGTGTGTCTTTCTCCTGGCCCTAAATAATCCCTGAAACGCTTTCGTCATTAAAAATATTTGCTTTATTATCGTGCGTGCAACCCGCTTATGGCTAACTACCTCTGCAGATTTCTCATTTAACATTTATTACTTCATTTGATGTAAAATATTGTCTTGCGGAGGAGCCACGTTACTGTCTACTAGCTGATTCCCATTACATCAATCACTGAACCATGATAAGAGATTAGTATACATGATTTGTAGAATCTTTTTTATGTAATATAATCTGTGTGAAAGTCTTATTTCCACACTTGCCCTTATTATTAATAATAATAATGATAATTTAAAAAATATATAAGAAAATAACGGGACTGAGTGGAAATCGTACCAATGACGATTAGCCCAGGACGTTACCACCCGAGTAGAAATACCTTCAAAATATACTTTTAACAGTTTTAATCAAATTCAAATCATGGCAACTATCTTCCCACTACTCTAACATATTGCTAACACCTGTCAGTTGTCAACAGATCGTTGTAGAATGGGAGAAAAACGTGAAAAGGAGACTTCGGCTGATCTGTTTTTACTTTATAGGGTATGGCGCTTGCCTACAGATTAATTTGCTGTGGGAGGCAGCTCACTCGTAAATTACTTGGCCAATTAACATGTTCATTATGCTGTTAACAATCCAAAGACCCCATTGGGATGTGCTCTGGGCCAAGTCCTAATTGGGTTGTAGTGTGGGTCATTTAGAAAGTAGATTACATTGGGTTCTGGCCTGTGACACACACACACACACACACACACACACACACACACACGTCAAACAGGGCGTTACGTCTATTGTTTGCTCATGTCGATAGCAATTTATTTCCATTAGCGACAAAAGAAAACTGACGTGAGTCATTTTAGGAGCAGAGTGTGTTCGTTGGACCGACTGATTTGATTGTTCGAAAAGGATTATTGCCAATACTCCTACCCTGTAATTATCGTGCATGCTCTATTGTCCGACCATGCGGTGCAGGGGTAGGAGTCCATGCGGCCTATTGGTAAGGTTAGATTCCAGCGGCACTGTACTACAACCTGTAGTACAGGTTACACCGCCAACCCCTTATCACCGTACAGTAGAGCCTTTGATGTCGATATTTGATTGCGTTGTCTCAACCAGATTTCTTGTTTTAATCTCCCCTACCACATTCACGATCAGTCGGTGTGTGAAGTCGAATTCTGTGCCTCAAATAAGAAATCACTAGAAGCCACTATATGCATCTGAAATAGTGTCCTCAAATATATTAAGAATGTGGATTTCTTTCTTTTCACGGCGTTACATGTATTAATATTGTTAATGTGTTATATTCAATGGGTTTAGGGTGTTAATGAGAACATCTGTGTCTGAATTTATATTTATAACCCTTGAATAGGTACTGGTTTGTTTTCCAGTCGTGGTTTGTTTTCCACCCAAACACGTGCAAGTTACTTAACATATGGCGGTAGGAATGGATCCCACATGAAGGATATTGGAGCATAGGACGGCCCAGATATATCCATGCAGTGCATTTACCGGATTTGGGGCTGTGTTGGAGATAACGTCTACAAAAAACTAATGCGGCATTTGTCCAGTCGATCAGTTATATAACTGTGTCTGACGATTTCTGGAAATTTAGTCCCAACAATATAAACATCACAAATAATGTAGCGGTATGGTTCCGCCATATTTGACATGTGCGGGTTACAAGAAACGGTAGAAATCACATTACAATTTGAGGGTAAATACATTGTCTATTCTTTTTATTCTGTGTGTGTAAGAGCTGGCTTGGTCCGTTTTTAAAGATTATTGTTTTTCTTTTGTTATTTTCTTTTGTCTTTTGAAACACGACCTGAATTTTATGCAAATAACCACGACGGATAACCACGCCATTTGGAATAAAAAGCAAAAAAATTATTGAAAGTACATTTTTTATTTCAATAAACACGTGAAATTAGAGGAAACTAAAATCGCAGAATGAGATTGTGAATGCGGCCAAATAGTGATCTGGTTAGAAATGTCTTCTTTACAGATGGGCGGTGTAACATAGAAAAATGGCGAAGAGAGCAGCAGTGTTGACCTTAGAAAAAGTATCTGTAGGCAAATTTGACAGCAGGAAGCAAAAAGAAAACCTTGATCTCATAAGGTAATTTGACAACAAAAACAGCATCAGAAGAAATCCCATAAAATATATTGAAAGCGTAAAACATGATACAACTATCTGTGTTGCTGTTTAAATATGAAGACGTTTCCTTATCTTCTCCACGACTAATTTAATTGAAATGGTTACCGAGGGCCTGTTGGAAAAAATCCCTAGAGTTCTTTGGCCGTTTTGTTTTTACTTACGGACACTCAATCTGTAAGTCGGAATCAACAAACCATAGGCAACAAGAAGCATAGTTTACATGCAGTTTTGAATATATAACTTATTGATAAAATTCAATCCAGGAAAATTGTATTATTATTAGTTCCTTCTCATACGGATTGCATCCTGTATATATTTTCAATGTGTCATTGTCTAGGTCGCCTCTGTTTATATCCTTTATATATTTTTTCAGTGTGCGTCGTTTTCTAGGTCGCCTCTGTTTCACATATAAAGTTAAAACTATCACTGCATTGAATGTCATCAAAAAGCTTGGTGGCTTTATAGTATCGTACACAGTCTTGATTGCCCCCAATGTTATTTGGTTCACCTGGAATGGAAATTACTCTTGGAAAATTGATTCTTCTTATTATGCAAATAAAATTAACATCAGGTCATTTCGTTTGAGTTACATTGTTTGAAATCTTCTTCCATTTAAAGCCGATAATGGCAATTTTCAGTTCAAATTTGGCATTTTCTGCTTGGTATCATCGCTTTATTTTTACTTCTAACAGTATTTAAGAGCACTTCAGCATGGCAATACATACCAAGTAAGATAGTTTTGAAAATTTATCAGACACATTCCATTCAGGTTATTCAAAGACAAAATTGTAAAAATAAAATATGAAAATACACATGGAAATATGCGAGTTTAATACCTGGGGCCCATGCAGTAAATGGTGCTGGAATGTCGCCCCATCCGGACAATAACCAGGTACCTTCAGAGGCTTTTGTTGCTGCGGTAAACCAGGAGGTGGCGCTGCAAGCTGCAGGTAAATAATTGACATTTAGTGGGGTGGCTTAGGGGCAATGTGGCCAAATCGTGACACGGCGGATAAAAGCACCAAATTTTGCATGTGGTTACCTTTTGACATACTATGTCAAATTAGAGCAGTAGCCCTCTGATCAAATTTATCGACCGGTCAAAAAATTCCAAAATGGCCGCCAATGTATTGGATGCTGTAGAAATTTAATTGTGACAACTGGTACCAACTTACAAGAGACACTATTACTGTCTAAGTAGATTGCAAGACGAAAATGTTGAGTATTGTGCAAAGTTCAAGTACTACAATTGTGGGTAACACATACTATTACACACGATTGTACTGTTGTTGAGGCCTTTTTTTTTTTGTTATAAATCACTGTAAAATGCACTAGTATACCGACGTCAGATGATGTAATATCATAAATTTTTCCTTACCTTCGTCGGCCATAATATATTGTCTAATAAAAGTGTGCTCCTCTTCATCGTCAACGGCAACAAGCCTCGCTCCCATTGACTCGCAGTGGGCTTCAGCCTGGTAGAAGTTGCCTTTCAGTGTCATGTTGAAACTGTAGCAACTTGTCCTGAACGAAACCTCAAACTGCGGTGGACACGTCACTTAAAGTATACAAATCATTCCATATAATTAATATAAAAAATATAACGTCTTTCATTATCCAAGTACATGTATATGTAAACTGATTTACACCATAAATACGAAGGCAATAATGGCAACGTGGTTCACTGTTGGAAACGCTTAATGGGATATTAAACGTTCATTCTTTAAAAACCACCAGTGAAAATATAATGCTCATCTTGAATATGAACAGTATGTTCCTAGATAATACTTA